GCCACCCAAAGAGAACCGATACCCCAAAAAGACGACACTGAAAAGTCCGAGCAGCAGTTTATCGACCTTGAAGGAAAGTCCGGCCTCCCGCAAACGAGAGAAGAGGACCCGAAGATGGTGGAGGTGCTCCTCGTACGAGGAGGACCGGACGCAAAGGTCGTCGATATAGCAGCGGACGAATGGGAGATCTCAAAGCAGCGAGTCCATAAACCGCTGAAAGATCTGCGAGGAATTGCGAAGGCCGAGCGGCATTCGAAGGAACTCRAACAAGTYAAAAAGCCGTAGTTACAGCTGTTTTTTCGACTTCGGATTCGGCCATCGGGAYTTGGAAATAGGCCTCCTGAGGGTCAATGACCGAGAAGACCGAGTTACCGTAGCTATCCTCGAGCAAGTCTTCGATGACGGGGAGAGGATAACGGTCAGGTAACGTGATGGCGTTAAGCGACGATAGTCGCCTGTCGCTCGGAAGCCGCCAGTTGCTTTTGCCACGAGGTGGAGTGGGCTGGCCCATGGGCTAGAAGAAGGCCGAATAACTCCTTGCTGGAGCAGGCGGTCAAAGGTGGACTTAGTCGCGGTTAAGCGTTCCTCGTTAAGGCGACGCGGACGTTCGAAAACGGGCCCTCAAGCCGTAACAATGCGGTGCACCACACTGCAGCCCTGAAGCACAGCCCCAGATCTCGATGGCCGAGCGAGGTCGGCGAACTCGGCGAGTAACGAGTCGTAGGCGGCTCGATGGCGTAAGTCAGACGAAGCTGCGACAGAAGCAACCCCGTGGAGGGCGACTTTTCGAAGGTGCAAGGCCGATTCTTTGGCCGACGAAGGATCAGCGAGGCGTTGCGACTAATGTCGACCAAAAGGCCGGAGTGGTTTAAAAAGTYAGCCCCGAGGATGGGCTCAGGCACGTCGGCCACCACGAACAACCACTGAAACTTTCGCGAAAGACCAAGCGAAAAGCGTCAGTAGGTTGCGACCGAAGGTGCGAATCGGGGTGCCGTTTGCAGCAACAAGACGAAGTTCGTCGCAAGAGAGAGCGATTTCGAGACGAGGCGGCGGGGTAGGAGAGAAACTACCGAGCCGCAGTCGACCAACATGGGTAGCCGTAACGAGCTCTCGAAGATGTGCAGGCGGTAATCCGAAGAAAAAGAAAACTGGCCACCGATTACCGCCGTGTTGTGCGGGGGCGCGATTAGTTTTTTCTGCGSGTGTCGTCTYGATAACTGCACGGTGGTTTGCAGTTAGCCGCCCGATCYCTGTATTGTTTATGGTAATGGCACCAGCGGTGCGACGGAGGGAGGGCCCTTACAGTCAGCGGTGGTCTTGACGACAGCCCGGGTCTTGTTGCTGCCGGCGACGAAGATGCCGATCCCGCTGAAGGTGRAGGAGGCGCGATCGACAGTCGTCGCGGAGGCGATGACGAACAAGAGATCGCATCTCGGCTGAAAGCAGCCAGGATCTCTTGCAGTTGGTCAATTGACCGGTTAATTGCCGTTGTCAAGCCTGACAGTTTTAAATGAAGGGCGTCCAATTTCTGCTCAACTGTGCCCAGCCGTGCAGCAGACCCGCGCGAGGCGCTAGCTGGTCTCGCACCAGGCGACGAGCTGCGAGGTGCTTGCCGAACTACGCAGATGTCGCGCCGGGCGTTCTCCATAAGGCTATCCGCCGTAGCCGCAAGCTCGTCAAGCTCAGCTGAGCGTAAGAGGCGCAGGAGTTCGGTGATGTGGGGGGGAAGGAGGTTAAGCCACCGGACCCTGAGCCCGTCGTCGCCGACCGTACTCCCAGCGAGGTGGCGCATCCGTCGAAGAAGTTGGGACGGAGTACGATCCCCCATCGTGAGCCYYGAGAACAGGCTGTGGAGACGCTGATGGACAGTGTCCCCAAATCTAGCCAACAGGTGCTTCCGTAGATTAGCGTACTTCTTAAGCCTCGGAGGGCGCTGAAGCACGTCGAACATCTCCTCCGCCGTATCGAAATCCAGAGCCGACACGGCCGCGTTGTAGCGGTCCGCATCGGAGACAACGTCATTATGATGAAAGAGCGATTCCATCTGCACCAGCCAGACCTCCGGACTGCGACACGAAAAGCGCGGCTACRKATAGCTTGCGGGGCGCCGAGCGTCGAGGGGAGCGGTGGCAGAGAAGGTCGCAGGGGCGGGGGCGGAATAGCCCGAGTGTGCTTGTTGTAACTCTCTTGGAACGGCCTCCTCCAAGACGGAGGCTCCGATCGGTGCGGAAGCCGCACCAGGAGCCGGGGGAGCCGGGGGAGTGGCCTGCTGACCACTAGGGTCAGTTGCAGGCGAGTCCCGACGAGCAGGCGCGCCCGACGCATCGCTTGTGACGCGCAGCGAAGTTTCTGACCGTGTGATCGGCATGCTATCGAAGAAAAAAGAAAAAACGAAAAAAAAAGAAGAAAGGAAAAAGAAACAAGAAGTAARCAGGCGAAAGATCGCGAGAGAGACAGAAGAAAACGAAGAGTAACGGTAGAAACGAAAAGTAACGGGAGAAACGAAAAGAAACGAACGAGAAACGGAAAGAAACGAAAGATAACGACGAAGAACGAAAGGTACCGAAGACGGACGAGAAGTACCGAGGATGAACGARTTCGTACGAACGGTCAGTCGCACACGAGAGAGACACTGCGATGACGTGGCAGGCCGAGTGTGCGAGAGGGGACGAGAGACGAAAGTACAAGAAGACAAGATGGCTGCTGAA